CCCCCCCTTTCACCTCACAGCATCATCATCATCGAATCTTGTGGAAGTCCCACCAACACCTTTTGGGAAAAACAAAAACAAGCCCTCACAGCAGCAGCATTGAACCTTGTGGAAGTCTCATCTGATGCTCTGCAATTTCTTTCCCAACATACCCTTAAAAGTTCTCTGGCACCAAGAACAGTATTCTTCTAAGTTCTACACAACTTAAGCTTTCTTCCTTTCCTCCTCAGTCAGAATGACTTTTCGTATCCTTGGAAAGGTTTCTGAGTATCCAAAAAAGGAAAAGTGTAACTGCTTCTTGCGCTTTCCGAAGACACCTTACAAAGCTTTCTTAGGGCATACTCACACTAGGAGGCCCTCAAAATCGCAAAATCACAAAATTGCAAATTGAGTGGCCAGATTGAGTCCTTGGGGCCAGATTGAGTCCTTGTAACCCAAGGACTCGATCTGGCCGCTTGTTTTGTTATTTTGGGGTTTTCAGGCCCTCCTAGTGTGAGTATACTCTTACTCTCTCTCTTCCTTTTTCTCTATAAAAAAACCTTTCTTCCTTTCCTCTTTAGTTAATAAGATGCCCCTTTGCTTTCTTGGTCAGGCTTCCTATCCTCCAAAGAAGGAAAGCGCAATTGTCCTTTCTTTCCGAACACAAACCCCCTTTGAGGCCTTCAAACAATTTCGTGCTTTCAGACGTCAAACGATTTCGGATTTTATGCTTTAGGAAGAGCAACGGCCATTTTGTGCTTTCAGAAGACCAAATAAACGATTTTGTGCTCTCAGAAGACCAACGATTTTTGTGCTTTTCGAAGGCACAAAATCGGAAAGCACGAAATTGTTTGAAAGCAATTTTGTGCTTGCCGAAGACAAAAAAGAAGACAAACGACTTTGTGCTTTTTTCAGAAGACCCAAACGATTCTGTGCTTCCAGAAGAGACCCAAACGATCTTATGCTTTCAGAAAAGACCCGAACAACTTTGTCCTTGGGGTACCGTTGAGTTGGTTCCCGTCACCATGGTCGAGTTGCTTTTTCGTGTTCTTTTTTTTTTTTTTTTTTTCCCCTTCTCTTTCCTGATTTTGCATGCGTAATGGACCGGGTTCGATTGGTTTATCTTTTTTCTGTCTGTTCTCATGCATAGGTTGATGTTGCCGTTCAGATTTGTTTCCTTCCTTCGTTGCTTTCTTCCTTACTTGTTCTGTCAGAAGACCCGAACGATTTTGTGCTTTCAGACGACGGATTGGGGACTTCCGGCTGACCTTACATGATTGACACGTGGAGAAACAAATCTTGCGCAATATGAGCATTGGGCATTTTTGTCCTCATTTTCCCTTCCTTCTGTGTTTCTTTCTTCCTTTTTGTGTTTCTCTTTTCTTTGCTCTCTGTCTTTCTAATCTGTACGTATGTTAGTCGGCATCCGTTTCTATTTTTGACTTTGTTCTTTCTATTTTCCTTTGTTGTGTTCCCTTCACTCAGGTGTCTTTCTCGTCTGTATGTATGTTGTGTTCTTACGGTTGGTATCTGTTAGCAGCCTGTTGTGTCACTGTAAATAAACAAATAAAGCAAAAAGCTAAATACATTAAAAATGTTGATCATGACGTTAAACACCATAAATAGGTACCGATCTGGCAATCTACCCACTAGTATATATTATTATTTTCACGGCAGGAAAACCCGGTTGGGGAGCGACTGCTTCGTCTCGATCTCTCTATTTCGTATTCTTTGGCTGTGTTGACAAATTTTGCGCCTTTTCGAGGGAAAAAAAAAAGGAAGAAAAAAGAAAGAATGCCCCATGGGAAGATACATCTATATATTCCATCCATCAACAGAACGATCCGGCTCCTACTGGAACCATGCACATCGACTCCATTCTTGGAACGAATGTTTCTCTTGTTCTCTCTCTCCCTCTTTTTTTTTGTCGTTGGCCCTATCTTACTTATAGCTCACGACGCCCCTCCGTCCGTCCCACCTCAGCATTTCTCCCTACCGCACCCTCTGCTCCCTCCATCCTACGTCAGGACTTTCTCGATCGAGAGAAAAAAAAAAAAAAAAAAAAAAAAGACTTTCTGGACTCAGCTCTGGACGTGGTTGCCGTCAGATGCATTCGAGTATATGGACGCAATTGCGGTCAGATTCGTTAAGAAAGCCCTACCAAAGTATGCCCTCCGTGTCTAGATTTGGTGTCTAACACTCCTCCGGACCACATCCTCAGCGTTCGGGCAGAAGGCAACAGCGATGGGCGATCGGCGGCAGGACAACTCTTTTTTTTTCTATGGTCACGTTCTTTTCTTTTCCGAGCGTGATCGCATAGACTTGTCTTTTCCTGAATGCATGCAATATTCAATTACGGCCAGATTCAGTCCAAAAAACTAGGTAGTGTCAGGATAGGCTGTTCGGTAAACGGACGGACTGGTACATGTACACATTCTCCGCCCGCAGTATCCGCTGCCGTCTCGCCAACCCCCTCGACACTACTACCCCCTCCCAGCCAATCAGGGTATTACTGTATTTAATTTTAGGGGTACCTACGCGGGAGTCACAAAAACGACTTATAATTGCACTATGGGGCAAGATACAGTTTGCAATTGCAGCACTTCGGGCACGTTTCTACCTGGACGTCAAAAAAAAAAAAAAAAAAAAAAAAAAGGGGTAACTTCAGTAGAGTCACAACAGCGAGTTATAATTGCACTATCATAACGGGGGCAAGATACAGTTCGCAATTATTGCACTTCGGGCACCCTACACCTGGCCAGAAAGCTGGGTTGTATACATTATGCCCGACACTGCAATTCCAAACTGTATCTTTGCCCATATAGCGCAATTATCCCTCATTGCTGTGACTCTCCCGCGTAGTCTCCCCTTAAATTTAATCCTTTTCAACTAGTCATTATATCATACAGTCCTCTTTTCAAATCCTCTCTCTACAAACCCTCATTTCCATATCCTCTTTTTTTCCCAATCGTCTTTTCCTTTTTTTCTTTGTCCAAATCATTTTCTCAACCAATCATTATTATCATTTAATTCTGTTTTTCAAATCCATCCTCTTTCTACATCCACCCACTTTTCCAATGAATCCTCTCTCTTCGGATCCTCCTCTTCCCAAGTTCCCACTTCAAATCCTCTTTGCTGATCCTCCTCCTCTCTTCAAACCCTCCTCGTTTTCGAATCCTCTCGTCCTTTTCCAAGTCCTTCGAATCCTCTCGTCCTTTTCGTAGCCTGGGAATTAACGGATTTTCCCTTTTTCGCATCTATTTCGCCTGTAATTTTGCCTAGGATTTACGTTACACCGCCCCGGTGCCAGTTTGGTACTACCCGTACGTATTTCGGGAATTTTTTTAGAGCATCTGTAATTATTCCGCCTTTACCCTAGGAATTACGTGGCAATGCCACGGTAGTCCCGATGCCAGGAGGGCAGCCCAGGTACGGTGCTACCGGCCTACCCGCGCATTGGAAAGAGCGGGAAATATGGACTTCGGAGTTTTGAAATAGTACAGCCCACGTTGTGTCAGTACGCGCGTAACTGACTGGACCGAGGTGCCACGTAACAAGTATGCAGGTAGGGATCCGCGACGCACGGATTAGACCAATGGTAATTAGAACGGAAAGAAGAGTAGGCCAATGAGAGCACGTTGATAAGCGAAATGGAGATTGAAGGTGGTACTTGATCGTTGGAAAGGAACGTTAGTCACTACACGGTACCCCGACACGTGAACATGCGGGGAAAGCTAGCTTGCAGGCCCTATCGTCGCGCCGACAATTCAGCCACGTAACGGACCCTACAGCGTTCGGTGCAACGTAT